ATTGAACGTCTTCTTTTTAGGTTCACTGTATGTCTGTCAGACTGTGTATTCGATACAGACTCTGTATGATCTGGAACATGCTCATTAATATTAGAATTAACAACTGAAATTGAAACACATTCACCTGGGCCCTGGAATTGTATACGTTCAACATATTGGTTGTGTACTGAAATCAATGGAAATCAATAAAAACCATGGATTTTCCAACACTATCCTCCTCCACAAAATAATGTAGAGTCTTTATATCTCAATGTTATGACCAATTTGACGTCCACAATTTGCATCATCATCTCATATGTCACACTCCGAGTATTAAATGTGAGTATTTGGGGATACCAACAGATATATTATTCGAGGCATTCCATGATGTAACTTGCATGAAAATTATGATACATATTCATACTCATTTTATATCCGCATCGCTTATTACTTATACTCGAGACCGAGGAACCACTGCAATTCCTACGACGCCCTATTTTAGCCGTGGACAAATAATAGGTCCATACGTCTGCACCACTGCATCTTGCTCCAGTTCATTACTACGTCATCTAAATCTAATGCGTAGTCAAGTTTATGCATATAACAATATATTGAGGAGTTATAAAACAGTTCATGAAGATGAGGACAAGTTTGGAAAATGTTTGTTCTGTGGCTAAGTTCACTCATCTAATTCATGCATATTTCGTAATTCTAAGTACTTTGAATGTGGTAAAATTGGAGACATACAGGTAGTTTGTAAAACTAATGTTCATCTCGTTGCAAGTAATGCTAAATTTTATAATTCCGATCTTATTAATTTGAATGTTTCAGATAAATCATAGTCTGATCAGATTCATGTTACTATTTTACAAGATATGCGTTGTTCTCATGATTCATGTGTTTCTAATAAAATTATTTACAAATATGTGGGAGATATATCGAGTGCACCAAATACTGATCAGAATTCTAATGTTATTTTATCAAATGTGGCTTGTCTTGATGATTCATTTATTTCCCATGAAATCTTAATTAAATGTGAGGAACAAGTTTTAAATGTGTTAAAACCTGACAACAGTCCTGATGTTGTCGCATTAGATGTTATTTGTTCTCACAATGGATTTATCTCTAGTGATATCCCTGGTGAATGTGACAAATATGTTCCGAATGGGATGAATTGTAGTCGCATTTCTGATGTTAATGTATCAGGTGTTGGATGTTCTCACAACCAATGTATAAATAATAGAATCCCTAATCAGTGGTATGATGAATCAGAGGAAATAGCCAGCTTTCCCGAAGCAGTCAGAGAACCAATTTACCCAAAAATGAAGTTTGCACAAGCAGAAAATTCAAATCCAGTCCAAGATTATTGTAATGAGTATAAGGTAGAGGCATATTTTCCATTTGATTGTTTTGCAGGTGAATCAAACCTAGATGAATCACATTTCTTAATTACACGTATCAATGCATATTTATCTGATATTTGGAACAATGGCTTAGTGTATTCTAACGCGAAAGACAAAAGGAATATGTATCATAATTTTCATGCAAGTTACATCATGGAATGCCTCGAATAATATATCTGTTGGTATCCCCAAATACTCACATTTAATACTCGGAGTGTGACATATGAGATGATGATGCAAATTGTGGACGTCAAATTGGTCATAACATTGAGATATAAAGACTCTACATTATTTTGTGGAGGAGGATAGTGTTGGAAAATCCATGGTTTTTATTGATTTCCATTGATTTCAGTACACAACCAATATGTTGAACGTATACAATTCCAGGGCCCAGGTGAATGTGTTTCAATTTCAGTTGTTAATTCTAATATTAATGAGCATGTTCCAGATCATACAGAGTCTGTATCGAATACACAGTCTGACAGACATACAGTGAACCTAAAAAGAAGACGTTCAATCGATTACAGAAACTTAGATTCAAATTTAAGCTGCAGCGGTTGTGGTGTTTGTATGAAATAATGATTGTTTTGTACTTGATTGGCTGTCTGATTTTTAATTCCTAATACAATACTTTCGTTTGTGCTCACCTAGTTCTACCTCACTTAAAGTGCGTTATTTTTGGGATAATCCGAATACACCTAATTGTCACACCCACATAATCGATCTTCGGTGTCAAATGAATTATCAGATAATGTAAAATGATAAGACGGGATGAGAAGCAAAAATTACATTTTTACTCATCATGATTACTTCTGCTTTTAATTCTATATGACGATCATTCAATGTAATATTTGTTTTAATTTCAGTGTGCTACTTTATTCGGTAAAATGATAATTTATTTCAGTGTGATGTTTACTGAAGATATGATATTCTTGTATTAAATTAACATGAATTATGTCCAGCATGACATGTAACGTACGATTTTGCTATACTGTCATGTGACGTTTAACTAATTAATAATCAAGTGTGCTTATAAATCAATATATAAATGAGATTGTCGTATTTCGGGGTTGAAAAATCTTCATTTGTACCAGTCTCACTTCGCGTCGTAGGAATTGCAGTGGTTCCTCGGCCTCGAGTATAAGTAATAAGCGATGCGGATATAAAATGAGTAGAAAAGCATTTGTCCTCCATCATTTTTAGCAATATTAATGAAATCCGAATTACGAGGCTTATTGTTATTATAAGACTCCGAAATGAACAGTAATGCAATACTTAGTCTGAATGTGAACAATCTTGTCACATCTGGCGCTTCGAAGAGGACATGATTTCCGTGAGTGGAATTTATCTCATGAAAAACATCCACCAAGCTTACACCCCACCTTTATTTACCGCTTTCGAATTGGTCGAATTATCACTGTTATTTCCGTGAGAATTACAATCAATGCTGAATAAACGGGAATGTATACGACTTGGAGAATGTAGTTGATTACAGAAATATATATTGAATTGCCATTTGTGTTAGAGAATTTAATGCCACAACACACAGAATATGGCCCCATTTTTGTAGTCATAATATTTTAGAAATAATGTAACGACTCGGTCATCAGCGTTAACAGTGCTTTGTATAGCAAGTTAAATCACAAGATCATTTATCCTGTGGTTATTATTTCACAATGAATTAATTCGGCTGCTAAACTTTTAATTCTTTATAAAACCACACGTTCAATAACCCAATCAAATTTCGACAAGCACCCCTTCCATGTTACCGCCAACTGTATTTATAAATTTACGTGTACCTGCCAAAGCAGCTACATCGGCCGAACTGAGGGGAGAGCATATCTTGGATTTTTTGAATATGTTCCAAAAGCCTTAGAACAAAGGAAAGACTATGATTGGTGCAATCACCAAACATCTCCTTGATACAGGACATCAGGTAGATACCTTACAATCCTTTAGGGTGATTAGTAAGCAGCCAAACTTCAGTCTTCTGAGGTTTGCTGGAGTAGTCGCCATCAGGCGTCAAAAACCTGACCTATGTGTTCAAAAGGAGATGGTTGTTAATCTTTCCGTGCCTTGGTGACAAATATTCTTTCGCTGCACCTTAAGAATTATTTTCTTTTGTGTTTATTACACCATTGATTTTACTTTATTTTTTTCAACTATCTTTCAACTGAACTCTACTCACTATATTCCTATCAATGTTAATTCATTATGTAATCAATTGTTTCTAACCCACTTTTGAACTGTCACAATTAATGTTGTAGAATATTATTTCACACTAAGTATATATTTACAATATTCAGTCTATTAATTTCATTTACACCCATGATATGCTTTACGAATATATCTTTAATATAACTTCCAAACAAACCCTCTCATGTAAGCAATTTAAACCCATTACGTAATTATGATTTTTAATATCACAGGTTGTAAGCAGCCGACGAGAACCTACGAAATAAAATGAATTCATGCTATTCTGCTAAAATATTTGTTCTTGCTCTTTTCAAAATGATAAAGGGAACGATGTGTATGAATGAAAAATAATTGGTTGTTCCTCTAACTTTATCAATTTGCTAGATATATTGTAATTTAGTAGTATAGAGAGATAAGAGGAGTGGGTTTTCGTATTTTACTCACAACGCAATGGGTTAAATGGATTACATAAAAACGAACTCCATTTAAGATAAGATATATGACCTCTTTTTTAGTTTCTAATGCTCTATCTGAAGTTGCAAGTCATCGATGAGATGCTTTTTTAACCAAAACATTTTGAAGTGTGAAATAAAATGAGTACACTCCATACTGTAATTTATTACTGTATATACTAATATTGTCGGTTATTTTTCCAGCATAGCTAACTCATTTCTCTGGGTATTCTAGTAGATCTTCACAACTCTTTCCAAACAAAAGTTGATATTTTTACGCAAGCATGTCGATCTGAACACTCGACCTAGAACAGTATTGATGAGCCTTATTTATTTGTTGGGAGAATAATAATACCGACGCGAGAGTTGGGAACGGGAAACTAATGGTTGGATAATAATGTCCCGATGTAACGCTGTGATACGCGGGATATTTACCGATATTGTCTCCGGTAGTTAGTCGCTCTCAATTATTTTTAGGGATCTTACTTCTGTCAACCGGTTTTGAATGTTCCGTGAATATCTAGTTCTGGCACTGGTACCGTTATCCGTAGAATCGTATTCATATCCCACTTGGGAGAAAACCTAATTGATCACTGAGAGATAATAATCAAGAGCACCGACAGGGGAAACTACCTGGATGTGTGAACGTCGTCTTGCGTTAAGAAAACTTGCACGAATATAGGCGCGAGCGTCGGTGATATATCGATCTCTGTAAAGGCAACTAACAGATCCCGATATGTGCGTGACGGCAACATACGATGAGACAGATATTACTGTGGCTACGCTTGACGGGACTTCCCTAGTCATCACCTACGGCTTATCACTATAATGCAATTCACCGAATTCTCTCCTATATCTGACCCACCATTCACCTAGTACACCAAATGCGGAGTGCTCCTGACTCATTCCGGGAGGCCAGAGCTGTCAATACACATCGATTACAACTTAGGGCAGACTAGCTCATACCGAGTCCCTACCCTACTCTCCAAACAGGTACCCAAGGCAACCCAAATAGTAAATAGAAAGCAAGTCGAACCAAGTTGTGGTGGCCCTGAAAAGGGCCGGTTTCACGTTCTCTAGCTCTCCAGTCACATGGTCGAAGCACTTAAGGCTTCACCTTGTCGGTCTTCTTGGGCAGCAACACTGCTTGGATGTTAGGCAGGACACCACCTTGGGCGATGGTTACGCCACCGAGGAGTTTGTTCAACTCTTCGTCGTTGCGGATGGCCAGTTGTAAGTGGCGAGGGATAATACGGGTCTTCTTGTTGTCACGAGCGGCATTGCCAGCCAACTCAAGAACTTCGGCCGCCAGGTACTCGAGAACAGCTGCCAAATAAACAGGGGCACCAGCCCCGACACGTTCTGCGTAGTTACCCTTGCGAAGGAGGCGATGGACACGACCAACTGGGAACTGCAGACCAGCACGGGCTGATCGTGTTTTCGCCTTAGCACGAGACTTTCCACCTTTACCGCGTCCACTCATTATCCGTCAGAGCCGAGGAACGTGCACGCCAGCTCACGCGTGCACGAGAGTATTTATAATAAAATTAACAGCATTTAGACTAACGTGTTCACAGACAACTCGTTAACATTTAATTGGTCGAATTAATTTGGCCTTAATGCAACTTTGACCTTGTCACCTTAAGGCCACTCCTGATTGGTCATAAACAGAATGTGATAGAGAAGGCCATTTTCTATTCTTCCGGCCAGCTTTCTCTTATGATCTTGTCGGAATGGTCATTAACTGAGCCTAGTGAGGAAAACTCTCAATTGGGTTTTCCTTACTAGTTGAGTCTTAACTAATCTGTGACATTGTATGAGAAATTCCCACCTGATTAGCAGCAATTTGTTGTAATCCGGTCAGTTCTCGGTTGTTAAGGTTTGCAAAAATATTATTTTCATAAACTGTACAGTACTTCATAACTGACCACTGTCAAATGGGTGACGACTAATGTGACGTTTCTTAACCAGTGTTCAGATGATGTTAGTTTAGGATTACTCACCTAGCTGTCAAGAGTTTTTCCCTACGTCATTAAATGAGTGGAGATGAAATGTCTTGTCTCAGAGGTGTGTAGACCAGATTGTGAGTAGCTGTTTCCATAGTACTAAGAACTCATCAAGTTGTAAGATGTGATGACATCCGTATTGATGGTGGTACTCTCCCAAATATTTCACCCAACATTTATAACTCAATAATCGCAAGTTGTCTGAGGATAGTAGTTTAGTCTCCCCTTTACTTTAGAAATGAGGAGATAGATAATCTTAGACTTGTAATTCGTGGTCAATTTTGTTTTGCTTGATTCTATTGTTTTCTGCAGTATGAGCGTCAATTGTGTGCACAGCTTCTGGACAGTAGTCTACTGTGAGTAAGCTTTCCTGATGTAGGCTACTCGATCATGGCTTTTCCGGATGTGTCGCTTTGAAGTTACCACGGACCTGGGAATGTTGCACCGAACTTTGTTAATGGGGGCTTTTCAGTGTATTATTGAACTGTTGTAGCCTGACCAATGCATTGATCTTGTTATCAGCTGTCTTCTAACTGTTGGCTTTCAGTAGTCGTACGACATTTTGTTGGGTGGTAGTGAGACGTTATAATAATCGGAGCACTGAGAATATGTAGGCTGTTTCTCAGTAGCCAATGACAAAATATTGACTCATAGTGCATCAATAAGTAGAGGTGATTGGTCACGTTGTCTGCTTTAGTCATTTGGAGGGTCTCGTTCCGGTTGGTCTGATGGCTGGAGGTACATCTTAGCGAATAGATTAGTTGTGTTTGGACTTTATTAACCGCTGTTACCCGTGTTTTTAACGAGATATTTAGTTAGTGCTTTGATTAGTTTTCGTGTGAATATTACTCTGGGTATCAGATATTCGAAATAACTGATCATTTTAACTCAGGTTTGTTTTGTTTTTAGATGTATGCTAGTTGTTACGTTGCTGAACACAGTGTGATGAGTGATATAGACTGCTGAAACGGTGCTTGTAACTTGAGACAACCAGATGCTCAACACACTATTGGCATGAAATCCTATATAAGCGAGATGTGCTGTGGCTACTCCCTGGTACTTGCCTTTGTTAGTGATGGGTTGTGCTATCTATATGAAATATAAGTTTTCGTTAATAAATATCTTAACTGCATTTCTCACGTAGTTTTGCGTTACTGAGAGGGGGTTATAGACGTCGTAGTTGAATCTACTGATTAAGTGGACGAATGTCTATTGAGATTGTGAGGTGTTTTGCTGACTGGGGTGGTTAGAACTAGTGATGTACAGATCCGCTTGACATGTGTTTATGCATGTTATTCTGACTAACTTCACACTACATTGAAGGTGTCTACGAATAGCCACATGAAAACAATGGGTTTGTCCATGGATCCACTTCCTAGGACTTCGAGAGCGATGGAAGGATCTAGGTTCTGTTTGTCGTTTGGTAGGTATCTGTAAACTGTTGTTAACCTAGACTGATGCAGATCGAAGTCAATAAAGGTTGCACTGAAGATTTTTTCTTATCTGCCAAATTCTAAACTTGTATTGCTTTGGTTCTATTCTCTACTACCTCTGGTGTTTTGTCCAGTTTGCTTTACTTGTATGGCGCTATGGTGGCTATTATTATAATTCGTTTCTTGTGCAAGTTTCCTGTTCGTGATAAATTGTGACAATTCAGGAGGATGTACATCAAAGATATTCTGTATGTCTGTTTATGATTTGATTATCCGACCTGACAGGCTAACGATTAAGCTATTGGTATGATTTGGTTAGTGGGATAATAAAACGGTCTGTTCTTAGTCTATGTTGTTATGTTCATTGGAAACGTTTCGTGTTTGGTGCTGCCTCGTTAAGTTATTGAGGAGTACGGAACGTAGGATTGCAGAGGACTGAAGTTTTTATTCCGTAGAGTAGTAACATGAGCATTCGATGCCAAGTTGTTGTCTGTCATACCCAGTGGGATTTTCGAGTGGTTTCAGTGAGGGACTTGATTGTAATGGTGACGCGTAGTATCGCAAGTGTACAGTTTCCTAATTATACGAAGCAATGAAACAATTTAGTTACGCTACATATGTAGTTACTGTCCTCGACTGTTATTCTAACCAATGACCTTCCTTTGTGTCGGATATTGCCGACACTGTAGATATGGAATTACCTACTGCTTGCGGAAGCGCCTGGGTTTTCCCATACCGAACATTATGTTTAGGGCACACACCTTGGTGAGATTATGGGAACTAATAATGTAAGATGCGGGATTGTAGTATGCGAATTGCCCAGACCACGTGGGCTGGTGTATACGTGTGTGGCGATTGTTGCAATTGCTGGTTATGAAGCACTCAACGTATAAATAATGTGCTAGTTGAGTCCGTCACCAGACTGCATCATACGGACATAATATTATAATACTTATAAGGGTATTTGGCGAAGTGTTGTTTCTGGTCATTGTTGTCTTTGGTTGACGTAACAACTAAGAACTGGTTGTTCTATGTTTATTGCTTTTACGGGTGGGATTGGAAGATTACTCTCTAAGCTTGCGTGTGTGTGTTCGTACACACAGTTGAGAAATATTATTACGATTAGTCACTGAAGACCAAAGTCTGTTTGTGTTTGATATGAATACTTCCTGTCATTATGTTGACTGTGGATTTCCACATCCTACTTCATGTAGCTGGACTTGGGTTTCCCTTGTTTTTGAGTATTCAACCGTCAGGTCGTTAGCATTTTTATTGCAATTACTGAGGAGTGCGTTGTCGTGATTCTGAGTTTATTCTGCAAATGTTTTGTGTGCAATGAATAGTGGGGAGATATTGTATTATGGTGATTTTGTCTCTGATATAATTTATCGATTGTAATGGCCTATTTGTTGGCATATAGCTCCGAATAACGTCTTCATCATTTAGTGTGTGCAATTAGCTGTGGAAATACTAGTGATATCTACTAGTAAATTGAAGCAAAAGATTATGGAGGGGTAGTAGATTTCATAGAGGTTTAAAGAACTGATAATTACTCGGGAACTCACCCCTCCTAGCTCCGAACACGATCAGCAGTGGGGACAGCTTAAAGGTAGGCTGATAGAAATCATATGCAGTAATCGTGAGCATTTGCGTTTAGCGCAAGCAGGAAAGACGGAAAAGGCATAAGAGACAGTTAACAGCAGGCAACTATCTAGACCTATACTGGAAACCAGTGTGGGGTGAATTCTGATCACCAAATTGATGTATTTCTTTCATCTAAATTTTTGAGGCTGAAAAGGCTATAAGTTGTCTAAAGCGAGTTTCCTTTTTTATGTACGAGTTATAATTGTAATACGGTTATGTGGTATTAAGTCGGTTGTCCTTTTAGTTTGATTAGACGGGTTGATAATCGTTTCTCTCCTTATTGTCTTTCTGTATAGATAAACGAATTCGACATTATTGTATAGACTGGAGTTATATCCTACAATTTAAATATTAATACAAACTGTTTGTCTTCATTTAGGTTTCTGTAAGTTGTAGCTTTGAGTCTGGATTTTTCCTATAACTGCTGCTTGGTTGCTTTTTATAAAAGAATTTTGAAGCTGGAGAAAACCCTCAGATATATTGGCAATGATCAATTATTTTCCAAAGTTTATTGAAAAATACATGATTGCCAATGAATTGAATGAACAAAAAGTAGTCAGAAATATGTAAATAAACAATGTCACGTAAAACTGTCTATTTGACAGCTAAGTCTTATGTGAAATGTTATGGTGAGCATTTATGAAGATTGTGAGGTATCGTTAACGGTCTGGATCAGTGGGATTATGCATCTAGTTAATGAACCCTTGAGATTATTTTTACTTATTTTGATGATATGCAATATATACTTGTGTTCTTACGGTTTGCTTGACGAAAGATTTCTCTAATACCATGTTGAATACGAAATATTTACCATAAAGACGTTAAGAAGTTCCATACCTTATTTATGAGAATTATATTTAAAGTAATCTCAGTGTTTCGTCCATCGAACTTGTCTGGAACTCTTCAGGGTAATTGGTGGTCAAAATCAAAGTTGTAAAAGAATAGATAACGTTTAGCAAACAAATTAAATTTGTACTGGATGCTTATCTAATCATACTCAGATTTTGATATCGGTCTCTGGAATTATTTCATACATAGTTTCCACGAATTGCGTTTTCTCTATACTCGGCGCCCAAACTATACGTTCGGATAATCACTAATATCCATATATCTACCGTACCGTTTTGCCAAAGATTTTGTCTTCAATATTATTGATAAAATTATTTCAAATCTGTTATTGTTCACTGCATTTGCAACATGTGTGTATGGTGCTGAAAACCAATCACTTCTTGGAATTATTAAATTTCAGATTCCCTAGTTTTTGGGAGAGGACTGAATTCGCAGCTGTACGATCATTTACTTGTACCCGTCTAAATAAGTTAGAAGTGTGTGATTTCTGTGTTTACTCTAAAGTTCTGATCTTTTCCTATCGAGCTCGAAACTAAAGAACAAAAACATGAGTGCGTGTTTAAAAA